TTTAATATTTTTAATATTAAAATATTTTATTTTTTTCTTAAATTAATAAATATTAATTCAGTTAAATTTATCATTATTGTTTTGAAATATAAATCCCAAGCAGAAAATATGGAGAAAAATGAAGAGAGAGGGAGAGATGAATTTTAGAAGAGCATCCAAAGTTGAGAAAGATAAACCTTTTTAAAAAAGAACGCGGAAAGGCAGAAGAAGCGTGGCCGTCACGCCTCCGAACTTTCCCCCCTTGTTCCCACTGTTCTAAGGGTAATAATAATCACGGCTCTTTTTTATGTACAGTCTTGCATTAAGTCACTATTAAGTCTTCCACTGAGGCTTCCTTTTAATTCTATAGTGTTGTACAATTATTGAAACCTGTCTTGTAATTGGTTTCAACTTGCCTCCTTCATTCAAATACTGTAATACCCTTATACTACTTGTACCTTTTTGGATCACTTTGCATGTATTCAATTCACTGCCACATCTCCAAGCATCTTCAGGGAAAAATGAAGAAAAAACAAAAAGATTAGATAAGAATCTAAGGTTGAGAAAGAAACTCTTCTAAAAGTGAACACGGAAAGGCAAAAGAAGCGAGGCATTGTAGGCGAGCTATCCTCTCATTCCCACTGTTCTAAGGGTAATATTCATGGCTCCATTTTTTATGTATAAAGTCTCTATTAAGTCTTCCACTAAGTCTTTCTTTTAATTTTGTAATGTTATATAATTATTGATCACGTTATGATAATAAATTAATTTTTGGACTTTTGTTAAGCACCTTAGTCAAAAGATTGCACCAACCTCTCTTGTTATTGGTTCAACTTGCCTACTTAATTCAAATACTGGAATACCCTGACACTAATTGTTCCTTTTGGATCACTTTACATCTTTTCATTTCACTACCATATCGCCAAGCATCTTCCAGGAAATATCCAGCAATATCACTTCTATAAAGTTCGCTCTCCTCGTTGACCGTCTCACCTTTTCTTATCATCGGACACAATTTGGCTTGCAGTTGAGTGCGTGCGGTTGCCTCCAATTTGCTTGGCCTAACTATTTGGATTACCAGTGTCCTTTTTCTTCGATTTCTTCCATTGAACTTGTAGGTATACTACCTATTAAGATCTTCAATTATGATTATGCGCATTTATATTATTTTTAAAGTATGTGTTAAATGAAAAATATTTAATTTTTTTGGATGAATAACCTTATTTTTAATATTTGTTGTTAGATTCCTCATTTTTAAATTGTTTCTTAGCAAATTATTAGATTTTTTTATCTTTAAATTTATTTTTACCTAATTAATATATAGCTACTTAATAAATCTTAAGACTTATTTTTTTATTGATCATATTTAAAACCTGTTCTAATTTCAGGAAATATTCATCAACCATCTACTTATAGAAAAGTAAGCTTGCAATTAAGCAAATCTACTGGTGCGTGTACTGTACTTGGTTCAATTTAATCATCATCATCCCTAATTTCTTCAATTTCATTCATTTGTTGAATCTACATGTATACCATTTAGATTTTAAATCTTGATTCATGTAAATTTATGTTGAAGTATATATATATATATATAT